TTTATTATTTTGGATAGAATCCCTTTTTCTTCTTTTTTTTTTCATTTTTTTTTAAATTTTGGTTGCTGCCCTGTCTATTTTCATCCATCTTTTCGCACCCTTAATCAGATTCTTTTCTTTCCAAACTTTTACCACACTTTATATGACATATATGTGTAGGTAAATATGTCATTAAGTTAACACAAGGAGGGGATTTACAATATAAAAATAAGTCCCTTTCCCCGAATACCGAATTAGAATTTCATCACGGTTGTTTTGAGTTTCACTTGGATTAACACACCACAACTCAAATTCTAAAATGTTAAAAATCATTTATATACTTCTCATTTTTAAAAAATTCATATTAGTAAATACAAGTCATATCCAAGGAATTATTTAAAATCAAAGTTCAACTCATTAAAATTCAGCAATGATCAAATCTCTATCCATGTTGATTTCCTTCAAGTTCTTGTAGTCAATTACCCCTCTTTAACCACCATAAATTCCCCAACAACATCCAACATCCTCTCAAGCAACGTCATAGGTTCAAGAGGTTATAAAACCCTCAAAAATAATGAACACAAACATTAAACTAGTGAACCAATTTAGCTGGCCAAAACTTTCAATTCTAATTTCTTGTTTTCTACTTTTCTTTGGCTCTTTTGTTCTCTTTTTCACTCGAAATTAATTGGGGATGAGTTGAAGGATTTAATCTATTATTTAGGAGGTAACGAAGAGGTCTTTAAAGGGTTGAAGTCGTGATCAATGCTTCGGAGTGAAGAAAATTGCATTAAAAAGACATGTAGCCTAATCATGAGATGGTTTTGCAGTAAAAATCTGTTTTTACACCCATCCTTATAGTAGAAAATCAAGTGTATTTGACCTATTTAATAGCCATAGGATCCTAAAATAATTTATAGAGTTAATTCATTAAACCATTCATTCGATTCCTTGCCGTATTGGCGTTCTATTCTCAATCGACTTCGACAATTTGCACCTTAATATTTACAACGTCACATGAATCTTATATTATTTTATTGTGATCATATCATTTCATGCCTCATGTCCCAAATATGTTAAAGACTTCATTAGTGTTTAGGGTAACGTGATTAACAAAATTAAAAGCGAGTAATTTACTGATGATGATTTGACACTTTCAATATTACAATCATTTAACACATCAATATCCAACATCTAGATTAATCTAAATTTCTAGCATAGCTCAATGTAAGATTTATCACCAAGGTTGGGGGTCGAAGACTAACACCATATAGAAATCTTAAAATCTCAATGATCCAATGCACCATAATAAGAGAAAACAATTTTGCACTATTGATGCAAATGCAATGACAATGTAAATAGCAAGTAATGCATGAATTATATTGGCCAAGTGTGTAAAGTAAAGTTGGGGGTATTACATCGGGAGTCTCGTATATATCAGAATATCATTTTGAGGGTAAATATCTTTAAGGTTATGGATATTCATGATACAAAAATATGACACGTTAAAGCTTCATTAGGAAATACGCTGTGGGAAAAATCCCGATGAAGGCAAAAGAATATATTATTCTTTTAAATATGCTACAAAAACGATCTCGTTAAAAATCTTGCGAGCAAAAATTGGACAAAATCTTGGTTAAGGAAAAAAGAGTACAATGCGTATTTACTCTTCTTCATGATAATATCACTTGAATTATGCTTCAAGCATACTAAATCTTTCAAAAATAGTATTAAATCTATATAAGATAAGTTAACTATAATCAAATTTAATAAATGCATATCAAATTTTAATTATTGTCAGACTAACAAGGTAGAGACTTGTGACTACATTGACCACATGATAACTTATCTATTTATACAAATCTTCACAAAATTAATTATGTAAAGAGTTGTACATTTCATATTATATCTTTACTTTTTCCACTTTCATTTCGTATAAGTATATATCTTTAGGTGTTTAGATAGTAGATCTAGAAACTTCAAATTTCTCTAGTAAATTCAATTTTATTAGCTATTCATAATATGATGTAGTATATCATCTATAAAAGTGTTGTTGACAATTTTTTCTTTTTAATTCTATTTCTTTTACATAATGATATGACTTATAGAGATATCTCAATTTTCAATATATTAGGTATTTGAACCTCTTTTGGAGACAATGCCACAGGAGTTGACCTCGATGGTGGCTCCTTGGAATGGCTATGCTTCAAGGGTAGGGCTCCTTGCTAAACCCTAAACTCCTTAGGCTGGCTTACTACCTCAGCAAAAGTCAACTTCTTTTCCCTTTATTAGTAGCTGTCGCTGATTTTGTTACCTTGTATCCCAACATGTCTCTATCTCGATCTAAAAAAAAATAAAAAATAAAAAATAAAATGGAAACGAAGCATCCGAACTAGAAGCTAGCTGAAACACTTAATAGATAATTTGGTCCTTACTAGAAGTAATTGGAATGGAGATGGAAACTCCAGCTATCGTGGAGGACGGAGGTAAAGATCGGAACAACCCCACTTGAAAAAGGTCGGAATTGGAGATAAAAAACTTGCAAAACCTCTGCTTCTTTTGAAGAGACCTAGTTGCGTTAGCTAGCTCCTTAACAGCTAAGGTAAGAGCAGCCTTCTGCTAATGTTCAACAAAAATAATAATAATAATAATAATTAAGGATGTGCACACAAATAAGTTCGACAAGAAGTCAAGAATACAAGGAAGAGATTCACTTACATGGTGGATGGTAATAATAGGAACTATGTCCTCCCTATTTACATTAGTAGCTCCTTCCATTTTTTATTGAGGGGGAAATGTCTAACACTAGTGGATCCCCAATCCTAGGTTTGACACTAGCATACCACCCGCTAGTATTCTTCTCGTCCTCTTTAAAAGTGAAAAGAGAATTAAATTGTTCCACTCTTAGCTTGAGATGCCCTAACTTATCCTACAGGATTAGAGTGGCAATTAGAGTTCGCCACCCATTGGGATAGGGCTGAGCGAGAGCCATTCTTTAGAAAGAAAGAAAACCTACGAATGATGTTAGGGAAATAGAGTCTAGAACAACGTTTTAAAATGATTGAGTTCAAAGCTACGCATCCCACTAGGGGATCACTAGCTCGGTTAGAAGGATAGGGTATACCATTTCGACTGAGCTAAGAATACTATACTTAGCCCTCAAGCCTACCACTAGATAATCCGTTTTCGCTGACCTATAAAATGTGTTGACAAATATACAATGTGTTAATTAATGAAAAATGTGAGGATAAAAATGATATTAAAAACTTTCAGGGACATAAGTGCTATAATGGCAAAGATTAAGAGCCTTAAATGCAACTAAAAATGATGCAAGAAATAAAAATTATGGACCTTAGACTTTCTTTATCATAAACTAAATATCTACAAAGCATTTCCAGCATTGTTTCTCTTTTGATCCCTAAAATTTGAAAAATTTCTCAACAATTTGAAGTGCTATTCCATTCATTACTCCATCTTATTCCGTTTGAAAAACTAACGAATTTGATGATATGACAAATAACTAGTTAATATGAATAACACTTGACATGAGTATAGAAACCATCGAAAGAACACTTTTGTCAAGTCCTGCCACAATTAGGAAACAATTCTTTTCTTCTTCTTCTTCTTCTTCTTCTTCTTCTTCTTCTTCTTATTATTATTATTATTATTATTATTATTATTATTATTATTATTATTATTATTATTATTATTATTATTTTCCAAGAGATAGGGATGACTAAATGTCTCATCTCGAACCTTATCTTTAATTATATTTTATGTCTTTACTATTCTTAGTTAGAAAAATAAAAAATGAAAAAATGAAACAAAAATGAAGATATTTTAATCCATCTCTTTTTAATTCCAACAAAACAGAGGACAAGGAGGTCTGTCCTTTTGCCAACTCTATATGGGATAAAATCATATTAAGAAAAATTTCAGAAACAAATATGAAAGATACGCAAGGGTGTTTGCTCATCGAAAGTAATACTATTTAGCTCTATTGATAATTATCATCGGTACATCACTGCACACTATTGAATAAAACTATAATCTATTTTTATGCACCGAACATTATGACATTTATCCCACTGTAACATAAATTGTGAATAAGTACTTGTGTAAGGGGAAAAATTATTCATTTAGGGCCTGTTTGATTGCCCAAAAATTTCCATGGAAAATGGAAAATCAATTCCATTTTCCAATATTTGTGGTGTTTGACAAAATAAATTTTCCATGGAAATGGTTTTCCATGGACCTTGGCCACGTAGACATTTTTCACCATTTCATGGAATTTGAATTCTCACCAATTTCCATGGAAATGGTTTTCCATGGACCTTGGCCACGTAGACATTTTTCACCATTTCATGGAATTTGAATTCTCACCATATTGGTGAGAATTCAAGTTCCATGTTACTGTAGTGGATTTTTATTTTTTGTTTTTCATTTTTTTTGTTGCAATATAAATAAATTTTATCCCTAATTGTAAAAAAATATTTTCATTTAATTGACAATTTTCATGTAAAACAAAGCCAAACTAACACCAAAATATAAATGATTTTTTGATTGTTTTTTTTTTCTTTTTTTTTTTTGGCTAGCAATGAAAACAAATTTTAGGAACAATGATAGAAGTTGATATCCTTTAAATTGACAATTTTCATGTAAAATAAAGTCAAACGAACACTAAAAAACACTTTTTATTTCAATATTTTCCAAGTGAAAAATTATACAAATCAAACACTATCAATTGACAATTCCAAGAAAAACAATTCTAGGCAATTCAATTATCTAAAATTCATTTTCTTTTTACCCAAATTCAACATTTGCAATCAAACGGACCTTAGAATAATCTTGTTTAGCTTCCCTCACTAGTTGTTTGTACAATTAATGTGACAATAAAATCACTATTACATATTCAAATATTGTTATTCAATTATCGTTGCCAATAATGAATCGTCAATGATATTGGCACCTATTTGAAACATAATGGAGTCTATAGAGGTTTCGCACCTGGTGCGCTATCACTGGCTTTTAGAGGGGGTGGCGTGGGTAATTAAAGAAGGGTAGAGGAGAATCTGACACACGTTGAACAGGAACGAAAATACAGTGCTGTGGACCTTCATTTTCTCTTTAATCCACCTCCACAACCAAAAGTCTCCTCTCTCTCTATCTCGATGTTTATTGCAATTGAGTTACTGCCTAAGAACCCTGATCTGATGGTTCATAGCCGTTCTAATTGCTTAAAACAAGTTTCTAATTGTAATCAACGTTGGATTCTTTAAAGTAAATCCGAAGTTTTGAAACCTAGTTTCAGATCATTTGCAGGAAGATTCCAGGTTAACGTCCCATCATCCCTCTCTCTCTCTCTCTCAGTTTTAGGGTTTTTCTGTATTGTATCTATAGACGGAGCGAAATATATACAAATCACTGTACTAGAAAACCATAAACTAGTGCAAGCAATGTAAAAGAAGCAACATAGCCCAACATAGCACTCTCGGTTGTTTAGTAGAGTAAGTCACACCGTGTGTACAACACCCATTTGCTTTCCTTTTCTTGGATGACTGAATTTTGCTATGGTTATAGGAATCTTGGATGGCTGTTGGGAGGCGCGCAAACTTCATCTTTCTTCTAATTAATGTTGTTGAATTAAGACCCCAATATCCATGAATCAGTGCTAAAAGCAGCTGCATTTTCTCTGTGTTCACATCGTTTCCTGCAAAATCATCTGACTGCTACTGTCACAATTTATGTCAATAGGTAAATTATTACTATTTTAGCTTCTCAGGGCTCCCATCCCTTCCAAGTCCTTTGTCCAGTTTTGGATTAAAGATTGTCTTAACTTCCTAAAGTAATACAATTTGTAAAGCGCCCTCCCCCCTCCATCTTCCTTAACTATTTTAAATTAGTGCTTTTTTCCCTCACTCAAGATTGTGGAAAATAAGACTTATCACTTTTTTCATTTATTCGTTCTAAAATTTTATTAATTAACCTGTTGGGAATAGGGTTGAGAATTAGTGAAATGGGGTAGTGGGGTTAGCACCCAAAAAGTCCTAGTCAAAAGAAAATAAGGCCCAACTTTACTTTGTTGATTAATTATAAAAATTGTTCTGAGATTAGGGTAGATATTTTGAGAGAAGGAAAGAAATGGAGATTAAACAAGAGAAATTAGATCAAAGGTTTTGATGATAATGTTTTACGAAGAAGGATTAAGGGGAGGATTATCTTGTTTGATTATAGCGAGTTTTAAAGATTTTAATTATGGAAAAAAGGGATCAAGAAAGGCGTATAGAGATCCAAAATTTCATGGGTTTCAATCCTTCACAACTCAATCAAGAATCACCAGTCAAGCTGCTTCTTGCTCCTATAGTTTTTACTCCACCAGATGAGAGAGGAAATGCAACGGTTTCGAACCGCTTGGGAAGTGCTATTTTCAGCCCTACACAAACCCTAGATCACCACAGTCCTCCTCCACCACCTCAACCACTTATAAAGAAAGACTCGACTCCAGCTCCAGCTCCAGATCCAGATCCAGATCCAGCTACTTCTCCTGCTGCAGTAACTGGTGGCCCATCTATTTCAATGTCGCCCCCGCCGCGAGGTCAAGAATCATCAGGTTACACTGCAATTAGATATAGAGAATGCCTGAAAAATCATGCTGCAAAGATGGGAGGTCATGCGGTTGATGGCTGTGGAGAATTCATGCCAAGTGGAGAGGAGGGCACCCCAGAATTCTTGAGATGTGCGGCTTGTGATTGCCACCGGAATTTCCACCGGAAAGAGGTCCAAGGCAACACCAATAGCCACCGGACTCCAGTTCTCCACAGCCGATCTCCTCCTATAATGCCGGAGCAGCACTACAAATACTCTCACATGCCGCCAGAGCCCGAGGCATGTAGTGAAGATCTAAGCCTCTATGATTCCAGAGCCCGAGGGCATGCAGCAGTGCAGCCATCGTTTTCCACGTCGAAAAAGAGGTTCCGAACAAAATTCAGCCAAAAACAGAAGGATAAAATGCATGAATTGGCTGGAAAACTCGGGTGGAGGATTCAGAAACAAGATGAACAAGAAGTGCAGCAGTTCTGCAATGAAATGGGTGTAAAGAGAGAGGCGTTCAAGGTTTGGTTACACAACAATAAACAAGCCATGAAGAAGGGAGAAATCTAAGGAAAAATTAACGAAAACATTATTTGACATTTTTAGGTTTTAAGAAATAGATTTTGAAACTTTTAGATTGTAAAAAGGAAATGATGAACTTAATCACTTTTTATCACTCCCAGTTTTCGCTTTTCTTTAATTTAGAGGACTGATATTCACAGGTCTCAATTTTCTCTGGTAGATAATATTCAACCAAAATTTGAAATACCAAAAGAAACTTTGCATTTAATTATCTTCTTTCATTGTCATGGGGAGTGGAAACTTTTTGCTGCTATTCAACCAATATTTAGAAAAATATTGTACCAAAAAAACTGCATCATTAATTGCTAATTTCTTCAACAAATCCCATATCTAATTAATGTACAGTTTCATCATTTGGGGTTGAAAATTTTCTCTTGCTAAGTAACATAGTTTTGAATGATTTAGATGAAGATGACGAGGTCATTTGCTTATAATTGTATTTTTATCTCCTATTCTTTCTGGCTAGATAATTACTGACATTGAGTTTTCAGTAACAGTTTTGCTATAATTACATCAAATTTGACAATGTTTTGAGATGATGACTTTTTGTACATTTTAACATTTTTTATAATTAATGGCACAATTTTGACACATCCTGAAATGCCAAACTTAATGTACGTAGAGTGTACAAGCAATTTAACACTCAAGCATGCATTTTTTACATTATTTTTGACGGTCATCTCACATCACATGAGTGGGTTCTACTGCTAAATAATTGCAAGACCCACTCGTGTGAGTGAGCTATCATGCTGAGTGTACATCATTTTTCTTTAACACTTTCAGTAAGGGCCTGTTTTATTGGCCCTTGTTTTCCCTAGAAAATGAAAATGGAATTTTTTTCTCACAAAATGGCTTGTTTGATAGCCTTTTAATTCCATGGAATTGGAATTCTACCAATTGTCGTTACATTAGCATTTTCTTTCTATTGATGGAATTTCAATTTTCACCAAAATGGTGAGAATTTGAATTATAGCTTTTCTTTTTTCTTTTTTGGTTTTTATTTATTTATTTATTTTTATTGATTTATTTTTTGGTAATGGAAATAAATTCTAAGAATTATTGTAATAAAATATTTCTCTTTAATTGATAATTTTCATGTAAAACAAACACAAACGAATACCAAAAGATAGATGATTTTCTTGAATTATTATTTTTTTTTTTGGGTTTTGGCAATGGAAACAAATTTCATCCCCAATATTAGTAAATTTTATCCCTTTAATTGATAATTTTTATGTAAAACAAAGTCAAATGAATACCTAAAAACACTTTTATTTTAACATTTTTTAAGTGAAAAATTATATGAATTAAACACAATAATTTAGAATTTCCAAGAAAATGACTTTTAGGCTATTCAATTCCCTGAAATTCGTTTTCTAAGCAATTTAATTTCATCTTTACAAACAAATGGACCCTAAATGAATTAGAAATTGCTGCAATGCCCCCACATGCTCCTTACAACACAAGAAGGTGGGCATTTTTAAGGTATTTTTTTAATTAGATAGTACCCAACTCACGTGAGAGGTCTTGTAAGAACAATGTAAAATGAGCATGTAGACTCCGCTCTATTGAATGGATCCAAGTCTACCTAGTTCTAGTGATAAGTACCTACTACTTAATAGCTTAGTTTGCAAATAAAGATCTGTATACACAATTATACTCCTATTAGTTTATTGATAATAATCCTACTTAACCATTATCAAATTTGTTATAATTACATCAAATTTGACATTGTTTTGAGATTATAACTTTTTGTACATTGATTTTAACAACATTTTATATGCCCCGTTTGGCCCTCATTTTATAGAAATGAAAATGGGTGGAATAATATTTTTTTGAAAAATGTGTGATTGAAAAAATAGGAAAATTTTTCGATTTACGTATAATATTATTTCATGAAAGATTGTGTGGTTGAAAATATAAGAGAGAAAAATAAAATGTGATGAAATGAAAATTAATGGAGACCAAACAAGGGCTAATTAATGACAGAAATTGAAACGTCTTGAAATGCTAAACTTAATGTACACAGAGTGTACAAGCAATTAAACTATTCCAGTAAATGGATCAAGGTCCCCTCGTTCTAGTGATAAGTACCTCCTACTTAATAGCTTAGTTTGCAAATAAAGATCTGTATACACAATTATACTCCTATTAATTAATCGATAATAATCCTACTTAACCATTATCATTAGCTAGTAAATTTAAGTAGATTTTGAACTCAGTTGAATAGTTGAATTTTTGGAGCTCAAATACGTATGGAGTCATCATATAAGGCATTCGATTCATGAAGTAATGTAACACGATTGTAACAATACTTATGTGAAACTTTTTACGTGAATTTCTTTTTCATTTATCCTTTATCTTACATTTTGAATAATTTTAACGCCAACTACCATACCTTTCTTTCTTAAAGGATAGGCTTCTCAGAAATATCAGCAAATGAATGGTCTATAACCTAATTTGCACTGTTAGGTTCCTTTCCTTTTCGTTTTATTTACCGAGTTGGGGCCCTCAACTGTCGAAACATGGGCTTTGTTTGTAGAATAAGTGACAAGGTTTTAATATATTTGATCTATAATTCTATTTAATCTACCATATCAAACATAAAAAATACTAGAAATTAATATTGCTCCCATTTCATCTAGCTATCAATGCAATTTTATGTGCCAAGATTTACTTTGGAATTCAATTGCTAGCATGTATAGCTAAGCTTAGAAAATAAGAAAAATTATATTTAAGTACATTTAGGGTAAACCTTTAAATAAAAAAGTTTAAATTTTCAAAAGTACTTTATATCACGCTATCAAAATGTGTAATTTATTTATTTCTAGCCTTTAGCTATAAAAGTGTATTATTTATTTTACTAAACTATTTTAGTTAAAAATAAACCATTAAAGCTTGCCAAACATCAACGGTGATTAGTGTTGAGAAAAACGGGAAAGAGCTGGAAAGTAACTTTTAATTATTCAAGTAAAAACTCACAAATTCCTCCTGGAAAGATGTTATGTGATCCTTGGAATTTCGTTTGGCATCAAATCAATGTTTTCATTTTATGCAATTTTATGGATGATTATCTAAGAATCTCGTGCTATATCATAGTTATTACATGATCTTCTAAGTTCCAAATATTGGCAAAAAAAGTTGTTTGCTTAATGGATAAAAGTTTTTAATGCAATAAAAAGGAGGGAATTGTGTTTCACTTAATTAATTAAATTATTTATATCAAAACTGTGAGGGAACATGTTTTCATGCCCTCGAATGCGAACTAGCAAAGTAGAGAGGATAAGTGAAAGCAAGAAAACAGTATCTATCATGCTTTTTGCTAATTATGGCTTTATAAGAATTGAATTTGTACAATTCACAAAGAATATGACTTTTTTCTTGTCACAATACAGAATATGATTGGGTTTTTCAATCTAATGTAGAATATTGAGAATTTGACACAATATAGAGAATATTTAATTTTTCATTTCATAAGCCTTTCATTTTAGAAGACTGTGACGGTCTTATTTATGCAATGATATATCTTTAATTAAAGCATGATTAATAAAAGTTTCGATTCGTTGATTGAAAATTAAATACCGAGAATTCAAGAACTACAAAGTTTATAATTTTTATTCAATAATCAACTGAAAATCAATAAAGCTATAACTTGAATTGTAATGTAATCCAAATTCTAGTGGGTATCTAAGTTTTGGTTGAAGTGACTTTGAAGAGATCAAATTATGGACCGCAGAGAAAAAGTCAGCACTTTTTCGTTGGCTAGGCGCCTTGTTGGTGTCGAACATCAAGGGTGAAAATGGGGCAAAGTCCTGGCGATCGAGCGGTGTATTTTGCGTTTTAACGTATTTCTTGGACTCCTAATCAATTACAACTTATCCTTTAGGGTTTATATATAACCTTTGACCTATATTAAGGGTATAACATTCATACAATATTTTGAGAGTTTTAGATCTTAATTGAGAGTATTGAAATTTTGATTTTTAAACACATTCATTATTGATTATAATGAAATTCTCCTCATCTACTCGCGAATTTTCCCTTCTTGGACTTTCACGTAAAATCTCTGTGTTCTTATTTATTTATTTATATATTTCATCTTGCTCTTTGCCTTAAGATCAAATCACAACAAATTGATGTTAGAGAAAGGTTGATCTTTCGTATGGCAACGATGAAACGTTATTGAATCGCAACATTAAATTTACTCTATGGTAGGAGAAGATGCGTGTGATTCTCGTACAGATAGATTTGGAGGAAGCTTTGCTAGGATTTGATTGGATGCCTTCAACTTGGACATAAGATGAAAAGTAATGTAGGGATTGAAAAGCCTAATCTTAAATTTATCTACATCTATCAAATCAAATTCTTTAGGATGTTTTAAAAGAGAAGAGTGCTACAGCATTGTGGTTGAAATTAGAGCATCTTTGTATGACAAAGAGCTTGACTGGTAAATTACATTTGAAACAACACTTATATTCTTACCAGATGTCTGAAGGTATGTCTTTGGATGATCATTTATCTATGTTCAAAGTGGTTATAGCTGATTTAGAGACATTGAAGGTTAAGTATGATGATGAGGACCAGTGTTGATGTTATTTTGTTCGTTGTCGCCATCATAAGTGACTTTTAGAGATACTATACTCTATGGTCGTGATATTCTCACCACATATGAGGTCTATGATGGTTTATTGTCTAAAAAGAAGATGAGGCATATTGTATGAAGATCAATGAGTCAGGCCGAGGGCCTAGTTGTTCATAGGAGAAATCAAGATAGGAATCTTGATAGAAATATGAGGAGTAGATCGAAATCCAGATATGCAGAGAAAGTATTTCACTTTCGTTAGAAGGGACAAGTCTAGCGAAGACTAATGTTGTAGAAGATGAGTAAAGTGAAGGAGAGCTTTTTGTAATTTATGAGATTGTTTCCAAACCTTGTGAGGATTGAAATCTAGACTCAAGTTATGCATTCCATATGTATCCTAACAGGGATTGTTTTACAACATATGAGGAAGTTTCGAAAGGTATAGTGATTATGGAAGACAACACACCTTAAAAGATTGAAGGAGTTGGTTTAATCATAATCAAAATGTTTGATTAGACTATTAAGACACTAACAGATATAAGGCACGCTCTAGAATTGAGAGGA